GTGGTGTGTGTGTGTGGCCAGCTCAGCCCACCAGGGGGCGCGGCTGGCATGTGGTGCTGGGGGATCGAACCGCGGTCCCTGATGCTTCGCTAAGCTTGTTCTAAGTAGGTGCTCCAGACCACTGAGCCATCTCTCCAGCCCCAGGCATTATAATTTTTAATAAAATCCTAAACACATCTAATAAAATCTAGTCAGAAATCACCTATTAATGAAATGAATGGAATTTCCCTCCTCATATTAGTTCATGTATTTGTAGATTGCTACAATTCTCACAAGACACAGTTCAGCAACAATTCATCACTATTTTCCAATCTAATAGATGTAGCTACTAAGAAATCTTCATAGAAGCAAGATAAAAAATAAAAAACAAAACTGGTGAAGTGGGCTGGTGAGATGGCTCAGTGGTCTAAAGCACCCACTTAGAACAAGCTAAGCTAAGCAAAGCACTAGGAACACGGTTTGATCCCCCAGCACCACATGCCAGCCAGCCCCGCCCCCTGGTGGGCTGAGCTGGCCACACACACACAAAATAAATAAATTTTCCAAAAAAAAAACTGGTGGAGCCAGGGAGATGGCTCAGTAGAATAAGCACTTCCCTCACAAGCGCAGGGACCTGAGTTCAATCCCCAGTTCCGCAAAAAAAAAGAAAAGAAAAGAAATAAAATAAAACTGGTAGGAATAGAAAAAGAAGGGCATATCATTCAATTCTAGGCATATATGTATAGATATCTATATGCCAATAATCTTAGTGAACTTTCATCAAAAAATATCTAATGATCCATTGACATGTCATCCTCCAAATTTATTGAAAACATGAAAAAAGAATGTTACATAATTATAGCAGTCATTTACATTCTCAAAATGTACACCAATATTACCAGTTGTCCTTTGATTGCTATGTAACATTTGGAATAGAAAGTAACTATGTTCTTCTCTAATAAAGTGGGTAAAGGCAATTAAAATGGGTAAGTAGAAAGAAAAAAAAATCAATAAAAAATACATTTGGGGGGGCCAGGGAGATGGCTCAGTAGATTAAGCGCTTCCCTGGCAAGTACAAGGGCCTGAGTTCAATCCCTAGTTTCGCAAAAAAAAAAAAAAAAAAAAAAAAACATTTGGGAGAGGAAGATCCAAACATTGATTCCTCTAAAACTGTTTGGGCTGGCCAGATAGCTCAGCAGACTAAAGCACCTGTTTAAGTAGAGTACAACAGCCAGGTTTGATCCCCAGCCTGCTGTGCTGGACCCGCCCCAGAGATAGCACTGAGAGGGCTATTGATACTGGGCATGGTGGCGTGCATCTGTAATCCCAGCACTTGGGAGACTAAAAACAGGAGGATCACTACGAATCTGATCTACATATTGAGACCCTATACTAAATATCAAAAAAAAAAAACAAAACAAAACAAAACAAAAAACAAAACCCAACTCTCTTTGTACTCCCTTGGAAAGTCATATTCCAGGAGTGTAATGAGTACACAGCTTTAAGGATTTTTCCAGATTCTCAGTTTTCATACATATTCTACAGTAAAAAGTCTGTGATTAAGGAGTGCTTGTCCTCTGGCAGTTTTTTTGTTTTGTTTGTTTGGTACTGTGAATCAAACTCAGGACCTTGTGTTTGCTAGGCAGGTGTTGCGCCACTGAGCTACATTCCCAGGCCCCCTCTGGTGGTTTATTGCCTTAAATTTTAAGGAAGAGGGCCACCAACGTCCTTCAGGCTTTGAGATGAAGTTTCTTACCTGACCAGGAGAAGTATCTGTCTGAGTGCTACAGTCCTGGGCTTCAGGGTGAGGGACAGCCAGGTGGTTCTTCCAGTCCTGTAGCTGGCGGGTCAGAACCTCCAGAATGACAAGAGAGCTCATCAGATTACCTTCCAGGTCATGTCTAGACAAGGCAGTCAGATCTGGAGGATGCTGGCTGGAGCAGGAAGGAAAAAACATGAGGAAAAAAGGGAAGGGAAGAGAGTGGCAGATCCAAAAGACTTCTCTGTTTTGGAGTAACAGAGGTCCAAAAGCACAGGATATGGGACACTTACCCCCACAGGCAATGCTGTGTCTCTGAAGCACTTTCTTCCTCAGTGCCCTGTGGGCCTATATGGGATTTGTTTGTACTCTTTTCCTGAGGTGCTGGAGGAGTAAACCAAGTCCCCACAGAGCAAGTAGAGAAAGGGGTAGTGCCAATGGCAGCATCCTGCAACATAGTGGGAAGGGATAAACTTTGGCGGAGATTTTCTAGCATGACTGAAGTATTGAGACCTTTTTCTAGCCAGGCCAATGGGGACATCCAAGTCTCTGAATCACATCCAAGAATTCTACCAGTATCTTCTGTTGGGCCTGGAGCTGCCTGGGATTCTGATGCTGCTGGATTTGGTGTCAGACATGTAGGCTGAACATTTTTCACATTTGAGGTAAGTGCTTGATCTCCCAATTCAACCTTTTCAGGGGATATGGGGAAGCTTGTTTCTCTTTCCACAGTAGCTTTGTGCTCTACAATTTCTTTCCCTTGATCCACATGATTGTCAGGGAAATCTGTTGCCAAGCCAGCTGAAAGAGAAAGCCAGAGAATGGAGGAAGGCAAATCATCGTTGCTTTCAGGCAGTAGTAAGTGCTCAGCTGCAGATTCAGTGCTACTGTCCCTCAGGCTCTCCTTGAGGCAGTGCAATTGTTGCTCAGAACTGGAATTTAGTGAAGAGTCCAAGAGATGAGATAGAGAATCTTGAAATGTAGATTTCTCAGGCATAACAGCAACATCTTCTAAAAACCTGTCTTCCACGCAGGGTGCCACCTCCTTCCTCACTAGATCTCCTGGCCCCAAAGGCTCATTTAGAGAGTTGCTGTTTGTCTCTGCCATGGTATCTGAATGAGCCTCAAGTATCATGTCTTGCTGCTGCCCCACGGGAGAAGATTCAAGGACCATGGTTTTAACCACATGGCTCCCCACTGGGTCTATTTCTTCCTCAAATGTTTTGGGAGTAGAGTTGGTTTGGGGAGTCAGTTCTAGGGGCTGCTTGTCTGATTCATGTTGACAAGCTTCTAGCCACCTTAAGGGATAACTGAATTGTTTTGAAGGGGAGTCTGGTGTCTTGGCAGTGACAAAATCCAGAAGAGATGAGTTGTTGTTGCTTTCCTGCCAATAAAAACAAAAGGAGTTGATATGGGTATAAAACATAATCCTTTTTTTGGTCTCTTTTTTTGGGCAGAATCAAGGATTGAACTCAGACACTTGTGCTTGCCAGGCAAGCACTTATTCTACTGAGCCATCTCCCTGGCCCCTTTTTTGGTCTTTTTGAAACTAGGTCTCACTATGCAGTTCAGGCTGGCCTTGAACTCACTTTGTAGCCCATGCTGGTCTCAACTTGCCAAAATCCTCCTGCCTCAGCCTCCCAAGTGCTGGACTTGCAGGCATGCACCACCACAACCAGCTCACAATCCAAATTTTTTAAAAGTTCTCATTATTTCAGATTAAAAACTTGGCCAATCCTTGTTACTAACTTCACAGACCCAAGAGTAGAGAGAGAAAAGTTAGGGAGTCATTTTGGGGCCTTCCAAGTGAACCAGCCTTCAGTATAAACAGACTAAGAATATCTATTTAGATCATGGGGAAATGTTTGCTTGAATGTGACCTTGCTCCTCTCACTTCCTAACTTCAACCCACTTGTAGGAATCTAGAGTAGGTAGGGACAGACAGATATATACATACTAATGAATTAAGGCTATTGTATAGGTCAGTGGTAAAACACCTGCATAACATGCACAAGCGGGCCAGGGAGATGGCTCAGTAGGATAAGCGCTTGACCGGCAAACGCAAGGATCTGATTCAATCCCCGGTTCCGCCAAAAAAAAAAAACCCAAAAAAACATGCACAAGGCCCTGAGCTGGGTTCCTAGCACTACCAACAACAAAAACAATAAAGTCAATGATGATGATAAAAAACAAAATTATGGTCAAAAAAGAAAGAACCAACTATTCAATATCAATAGCTATAAATGAATTTGACCCTGAGCATTTCTTTGGCAAGGGCTGGGTAGAGATTGAACCAGGGCCTTGCACATGATAAGCAAGTGCTCTACCACTGAACTACATCCTCAGCTCCCAGCCCCCAACTATTTTTCTGCAGTACTGACTACTGAACACAGGGCTTTCATACTGAGCTACATCTCCAGCTTTGTTTGTAGACAGGGCCTCCTTATCCCAATTAGCTGCAATTATTGAACTACCTCACTGAACAAGCACCCTGAGCTTTTTCTGTGCTAAAGCAAGAGGGAAAATATGACCTTATGCCTGCCAGGCAGATGCTGTGCTACTGAGCTATATCCCCAGCCCTCTTTTTTTTTTTTTCCTGAAACAGGGTCTCACTCGCGCAATTCAGGCTGTCCTTGAACTCACTATGTATCTCAGGGTGGCCTCCAACTTGTAGTAATCCTCCTGGCTCCATCTCCCAAGTGCTGGGATTACAGGTGTGGACCACAACACCCAGCTATATCTCATTATTACAAAGAGAAAAGGATAACACTTTTTTAGGAAGATTAATTTCCCAGGCAGTAAGTTCTAAAAAGTTTAAGAAATCCTAGAGAGGAGTCAATCTTTTTCTTTGACAAGTTTTTACAGTAACTGAGAAGCAGTTTATTCATGGGTACTTGTCTCAACATCTTTAAAAGCTCAACTTGGTCTGGGGATAGAGCTCAGTGGCACAGTACCTGCCTGACAAGCACAAAGTCCTGAATTTGATTCCCAATACTAAAATAAAATAATTAATTATTGAAACTGTCCTACCAATTTGATTTGAAACTGTCTCATTGCTATTTATCAATAAAATTATGGAAAAAAATAAAAAATTAAAATAAAATCTCAACTCAGTAAGAGCAATTCTGCCAGGGATAGTTTAATAATAATGATGTGATAATGATTATATAAAATAATTATATATATATATATATTATATATATAATATTACCTCCAGGGGTAGGTGAATATTGCTTCACTGTTGTACCAGACAGAGCTCTCCATCTGTGAACCCATGTTAGATAAAGACCACTAATTAGGATGAACGATTTCTCAGTAGTTTAATAAAGGTCGAATGGAGGAGGAGATCACAAAAGCAACAGCTAAATAGAGGTTTGGATTCTCAGTGGATTTCCTTTAACCACCCTAGGGCACCTCTCTGTTGGCCTGAATAGCTGTAAATGGATGTCACTGTTGTAGAGACTTCATTATCGTTATTAATTACTACGTTCCAGCCCTGGCCCTCTGTTCCTCTGAGCTCTCCGTCTGGGCACACAGGCCAGTCGAATCTCACCTGCAGCCCCAGCTTGCGTAGTGAGGGGGTCAACGTGGAGCACATAGCGGGCTCTTGTCCTGAGTCGAAGTCACTGGGCTGCAGGTTAAGTTCCTGAAGAGGCGTTCTCATAGCTGGTTTCCCCTGAGAAAAACAGAAAAAAACAAACGTGAAGAGCCTGTTCCCATTTGAGTCGCGCTGAAGAAGCAAGACGAACAAAGACCCCAAACGCTCCACAGCCCCAGGCTCGACCCAACCTTCCAAAAGCCTCGACCCCGCGCTCCCCACCCAGGTAACCCCACCCTAGATTTTTCCCGCTCACCGGCTGGGGCGAGGGCGACAGGCTGAGGTTCAATTTCTTTACTCGCCACATCTTCAATACAGTAAGCAGGTCTGCCACCTCCCAGGCCAAAGCCGTTCCGCCATGTTCATCCGCCGCCTTTATTTGAATCCAGTCTGCGCTTTTCAATTGGCTGGAGAGCAGCAGTGCGTCAGCCTGGCGGACCCACTCCCGACTTGAGCCTGAGAGGGCGGGGCCTGAGTTAGCCACGCCCCCACAGCCCGCTTGCGGTTTCCTCAGCGACCCCTCAGCATAGAAATGGACTGGAGCGCAGGACGCGGATGAGGCCCACTCCGAGGCCTGTGTCCTCACTACGGGGAGGACACCTTAGGTACCCGAGTCAGGGAGTCCATCCCTGTCTTTTCCAGGAATCCTTCCCACGCCCCGCCAGGGAAGTTGTCTTCTTGCCCGGGTTTAAGGACGCTCCTCATTCTGGACGGAGAGTCCCGATGGGAACAGTGAGAGGAGCGGTCCGACCTCAAGCTGGGCCTGCAAGTCATGACCACAGATTTCTTGGGCTAAAAGTTAAGAGTTTGAGGCAAGTTTACCGGAGTAATAGCTAACGAGTAGTGTATTGAACATTTATTACGGGCCTGTCACTGTATATTCGTTTAATCCTTTAAGAACCCATGAAGCTTTACAACCTCCCCGCTTCTTCCTTTTTTGTTGACAGGATTCTTGCTGTGTAGTCCCATGACAGGCTTGCACCATCCGACTCCCTATTTTATAGATGAACAAAATGCAATTTGCCCAGTGCCCCACAGATGATAAATGGCAGAGTCTAGAGCCCAACCCATACTAAAGACTGCGTCCCTGTCTCTAGAGTCCTCTCTGTACTGGGAATATATATACATATATATATATATATACACATTGCAAGTGATGACAGTGTGTTCCTCTGAGCACTCTTACAGAACCTTCTTGTGGTACTGGAGATTGAACCGAGGCCCTCACTCAGGCTCGGTAAATACTTACCCCCAGCCCTTTTTATTTTTGCGACAGGGTCTCACTAAATGGCCCAGGCTGGCCTCAAGGTGGGTTGTAATGCTTGTGCCTCAGACTCTCCAGAGGCTGGGATTACAGGTATGTTTGTCCCACTGTACCTGGTCCTTTAACTTTTTAAATGTGGATAGCTGGCAGATTTTAAATGACTTATGTGTTTTGCATTACATTTCTGTTGGACAGTGCTGCTCTGGAAACATGGTGGTACCAGCCTGTAGGCACTAGCCTGCTTAAATGAAAACTCAAGAAAGACAAAATGAGGATAGTCTTGAGCCTGGGCTTGCCCAAGACTCAACAGATGGACTCTGAGGAGTATTTGTAGTGAATTCAAAAGACTTTAAAAATAAGACGGGTGATTTTTTTTTTTTTTTTTTGGCGGAACCAGGGATTGAACTCGGGCCCTTGCGCTTGCCGGGGAAGCGCTTATTCCACTGAGCTATCTCCCCAGCCCCAAGACGGGTGAGAAGTGTAGGAAAACCACAGCAGAAAATTCTCAGTGCCACTAATAAAAACTAGTATTAATAGAAATGTGTTAGCTGGAATGATTAGTCTTTGTTGCAGCTGGTATGTCAGATGACAAGTGGACAGCTAAAGGGATATGGATGGTACTTCAACAGAAAATTTGGAGATAGGGAGGGGCAGATGGGAAGAAAAATATGAAATAGATAACACAAAAGTAGCTTATGTTGGTTTTGTATTTTTTAATTTATTGTTTTCCAACAAGTGCTGTATTGTTTCAGCATTCGAATAAAGTCAAAAGATGTACTGAAGGCAGACATCCAGGTATGGTGGCACATGCCTGCAATCCCAGCATTTAGGAGGCTGAGGCAAGCAAGATTTCAAGTTCAGACCTAGCCTGGGCTACATAGTGAAATCTTGGTTTTTGTTGTTTTGGGGTTTTTTTGTTGTTGTTGGGGTGTTTTTTTTTTTTGGTTTTTTTTTTTGGTGGAACCAGGTATTGAACTCAGGTCCTTGCGCTTGCCAGGGAGGCACTTATTCTACTGAGCCATCTTCCTGGCCCTTGTTGTTTTTTTTAAAGAGAAGATTCCCATCCAGCCTACCCTCCTATGTACAAATTATATGTACATATTTATAAAAACATACATATATTAAGAAAGCTGAGGCAGGACAGTCACAATATCAAGGTCAGCAACTTAGTAAGACTGTATCTCAAAATAAAAAGGGTTGGGATTATAACTCAGTGGTATAGCATATGATTAGCATGTGCAAGCCCTGGTACTGGAAAAGAATTTTAAAATGGATATAAAAACACACATTAAATAATTTTATTTACTTATACATACATCATAGATTTTCCCCCAAATTAACTGATGCAAAAGCTGGGGAGTTTAAGCTTTAAGTTTGATGCTTTGTTTTTTCCCTTTCATTCTTCCTCTCTTCCAGGTCTTTTCTCTCACATTTTCTTTCCACTGTCCCATCCCCACTACATACAGGTGGGGGTCATTAAGTCCTTTATAAACACAATTTTTTACATTTCTGCATTTTTTTTTCCTCCACTCAGTATCTTCTAAAAACCCTTCCAAGCCAACTGGTATCAATCTAATTGAATTGTCACTTTATTTTCCTTTGAAGAGTTCTTTTCTGGGGGCCTGGCCCTAGCTCAGTTCTTTAAGTGGCTGCTTCCATAAAGCTGTCAGCCTCAGATTGCTGTAGTTCATACCCACAACTCCAGCCAGCCAAACCTGCCCTGAAGGCATTCGGAGCCAAAAAAAAAAAAAAATCCTGAAGAGTTCTTTTCTAATGTGAAAGACTTCTGTGTTATAGACATTAGCTGCTATCATTCTCACATTTTACTTTTTTTTTTTTTTTTTTTTATGGCGGGGGAAAGACAGGGTTTCACTCCATAATTCAGACTGGCTTTGAATTTTGAGATCCTGCCTCAACCTCCCAAGTGCTGAGGCATGCACCATCAAACTCAGCTTGATGTGTTTTTTTCACTGATTTGAATAACAGTATGTTTAGACATGGTTTTTATGTGATCAAGATGTAGTTCAAGGGGCTGGTGAGATGGCTCAGTGGTCTAAAGCACCTACTTAGAACAAGCTTAGCAAAGCACAGGGACCATGGTTCAATCCCCCAGCACCACATGCCAGCCAGCCCCGCCCCCTGGTGGGCTGAGCTGGCCACAAACACACACACACATAAATAAATAAAAAAATAATAATAAAAAGATGTAGTTCAATAACATCTAGATTTCTCACCTTTTTTTTTTTTTTTTAATTCTTTTCAAGACAGGGTCTTACTATGCAGTGCAGGCTGGCCTTCAGTTCACTTTGTAGCCCAGGCTGGTCTCAAACCCGCAATGATCCTTGTGCCTCAGCCCCCCCAAACGCTGGAATTACAGGCATGCACCACCATGTCCAGCCCTAGTTTGTTTGTTTGTTTCCAGTACTGGGGATTAAACTCAGGACTCTGTACTTGCCAGGCAAGCACTTATTCTACTGATTCATTCTACTGACCTATCTCCCCAGCCCTAGATTTCTCATCGTGATTGGGCCTTTTTTTTTTTTTTTTTTTTTTGTGGCTGGCTCAGCCCACCAAAATAGTGGGTCTGGCACAGCATGTGATGCTAGGGATCAAACTGCAGTCCCTGAGCATTTTGCCTAAGCTTGCCTGCCTAAGCAGGGCTTTAGATCACTGAGCTATCTCGCCGGCCCTGGTTGAGCCATTTTTTCATCAAATTTTCCTGTAAGTATGTTTCACTTGTAGTGCTTTTATTTTCTTTCCTAGTTTAGGTCTCCTCCATCCCCTGAATGAAGGCCTTGTCTCACATTTTTTTTAATTTAATTTTATTTTTTTGCAGAATCAAGGATTGAACTCAGGTGCTTGTGCTTGCCAGGGAAGCGCTTATCCCACTGAGCCATCTCCCCAGCCGCTCTCAGATGTTATAAGAATTTTTTTTTTTTTTTTTTTTTTTTGGGTGGAACCAGGGATTGAATTCAGGCTCTTGTGCTCGCCAGGCAAGCACTTATTCTACTGAACCATCTCCTTGGCCCCCTAAGAATTTTAATATTTTAATTAATTAGGTACCAGGGAGCAAACTCAGGACCTTATACTTGCCAGGCAGGCATTTATGCCACTGAGCTATCTTTGTGGGCCTTCATTATATTTAAATCTTTATCTAGAAAGTTTTGGGTATGGTATGAAATAAGAATCCAACTATTTTCTTTTCTTTTCTTTTTTTTATTTTTTTAGGGAAGGGTAAACAGGATGTTCAGAGTCTCACTACTAGTTTGGACTCATAGTGATTCGCCTGCTTATAGCCTCCCAAGAGCTGGGATTACAAGTGTGTGCCATCAAGCCAATCTCAAATTCAACTATTTTCAAAGTTATAGTTTCTAAATTTTAGGATCAAAGATTTTTTTTTTAATAAAAATCCAATCATATAACCCAAATCAGTAATGAGAAGTATCAACTGAACAGTTTTGAGCAAACTGAAAAAATGGAATTTTGGAGCCCAGCATGGTGGCACACACTGCAATCTCAGCACTTGAGACCCTGTCTCAAAAAAAAAAAAAAAAAGATGGTATTAAGTATAAGTCCTACTGCTGTGTGTAATACAGAACAAAGGAGTATGACAGTTGCTAATCAACAGGACTGTGTATACCAGCACAACTCAAGATAATCTGAAACATCGTATTCTCAAAATATAAGCAAAGGGGCCGGGGAGATGGCTCAGTGGAATAAGTGCTTCCCTGGCAAGCACAAGGGCCTGAGTTCAATCCCCAGTTCTGCAAAAAAAAAAAAAGCAAAACCAACCTACAGGGAATAAAGTAGCATTATTTTTTGTAAGTGTTATTCCTGACTCACAAGGGTTGTATTAGCATGGGAGGGCTACCCTAACAAACTTCCAGACTAGGTGGCTTAAACAACTGAAATTTACTTTCTTACAGTTCCGGAGTGTACAAGTCTGAGATCAAGGTGCCAACGGGTTTGTTTGTATGTATGTTAGAATCTCACTGCATAGTGAAAGCCATCTGTAAACTATGTAGCTCAAGCTGGCTTCAAACTCAGAGCAATCTTTCTGCCTCAGCCTTCTGAGTGGTGGGATTATTCAGGCCTGTGC